CCAGTGTTCTCCATTTACCAAACTAAGTTGGAAAGCTATGATATCATACTTCTCCAGGGGTAGGGATACGACGAACTTGGCATCATAGAGGGATCTATACACGGCTTCTATACCCAGTTTCCCACCTGGATATTCTACCATTGCCACAAAGGCTGGTGTATTATCTGTAGAGAATAAGAACTTGAAAACAAATTTCTCATAGCCTCTGAATGGCGTGATAACAGTGGCCAAACAATCCCAGTCTTTATCGGCAGAAACGTCGAACATGGCGTATTCTGCATCATAAACAAATGAAATATGAATTTGTGTTTCTTCAAACGTCACCGGCCAAGGCATGCGGAAATGTACATTTTCTAAAGGTAACACTGAATTATCAATTTTCATCGTGAAGTGATTTTCAACACTAATGTTGTAATCAGCCGTTACCCGTATTAGAGTCTTTCCTGATGAAAAATCAAATACAGTAGAAAAGTCACGATCGACTAATAATAAACTATAATTCAAATACATCAGCTCCTTAATATACAAATATACTCGGAGGTTATCATACCATGTTTCTCCAATGTCAATATCTACAATCAAATGATTATATAAAGCTAGAAAGCCTCGAGCGTCGACGCGAAGGTTCTTGCTTCCATAGTTTTCGTAATTTGCGTTCACTGATGTGTTGATTTCAGGAACAACGCTTGTTACAATAAATGATAAAGTAACTTCACGTCCGTCATTTCCAAAGTCTAATTCTGCTGAGAACATTTCCTTCATATTGCGTGTAATATTTACATGTGATTTGAGACTCTCCATTCCATTATTCTGGAATCTTCCCTCCACAAGAATCTCCCCATCACCGAGGCTAAGCTTACCCTCAACGTTCATGTTCGATGGCGTCAAATCCTTGCCAAGACTGCCCATGAATTCCACGTTCTCATAGGGGATCCATGACGAACTGGCTTTTGCAGAAGCCTCATGAGTATCTGGGTCAATTATGAGGTTGAGGTTATGCCTCTCTCCATGGATTTTTAGAGTAGCATCCAAAGCAATGTTCTTTAACCACTGAATAATGACATCAACTGCATAGTCGCCAATCCAATCTGATCTAATCTTTGTGTTATAAGTAATTTCTCTCAAGTCGTCGTTGTATTGTAGTTCTCCTTCAATATCAATTTTCTTTGTTCCGTGTGAAAACTCAGAGTCGACTGTAAAATGCAGCTCATCCAAAACAACAAACTTCAGGTCGTATTTAGCAGGATCATCACCCAAGTAGGGTGAATTGAGTTCTGCCGCAAGCAGAATGTTCTCAGCACCTGAAGGTTCAGGCCACATAATGACTAGCTCATGCTTAGTGGAAGGTTCTGGGTAAGAGAATACGATGGTAATGGAATCATCAGTTACATTTGTGGAGAAATATGCCGTCCAATCTGGAAACTCAATCCTCAAACTTCTGCTGAATGTCATGTCATCCAGGTTATCATGCACATATGAGACTATGTATTTCTGCTCTCCGACAAACAAAGACACAACAGCTTTCCCTTTTTCAACCAGAATATTCCTCAAGGGAATAATGGTGTCGAGTTTATACGAGCCATCAATGTAACTACTGGTGAGGACGGCACCAAAGACAAAACTTTCTTCCTGAGTGGTGTAAGCTACGTTCATGATATGACTAGAGACATTCATGTTTCTGAAACCAGTGGTCATAATGCTTGAAATATTTATATATTCGCCATAATCAACACTTACATCTAGAGTTACTTGTTCTAAACTTAAGTCTGTTGATTCAAATTTAAGGTTCATGACATCATTAACATTTGGGTTGATGGTTGTCTCCATCTGACTACCAAAGTACGCAATGGAGAACTTCCAAATATCTGAGACATCAATACCAAAAGACATAATCTTTACATCTCCAGCAACATCAAACATTACCATAAGTGACGATGTTTGCAAGGCATAACTAAGGGTAATGTTATATGGTGTGGTACCTTTTGGGTAGGTCATGGTTGAATATGTGTCTAGTTTTGTCCAATCTTGCTTCGCCTCCAAGTTCCACTGGAAATTATACAAGAAGGGAATGTCTAAGATGAATTTAATTGCACCCTCGGAGTAACTTCCCTTGAAACGGCTCATTACCTCGTTAATCAGTACTTCAAGAGAGATTCCCTGGGGCCCCAGCTGGAAATTTGTCCTAAACAACTTCAGGGCATCATACATGGTCTCTACAACAACCCCGAACTCAAAATTACTGCCTTTGATGATGTATTCAACTCTAACGGATGCTACTTCAGTTTCACCACTATTATATTTTCCAACAATCCGAGCATCCTTGGGAGTCACATCAGATGTCATTTCTACCTTACTGCCATCCCACTGGAGCGTCACCTTAGCTGACACTTCCTCACTCTCAGTCCTTAAAGAGGCAATAAAAATGACTTCCCTCAGGGGTGTCCATGGCGTATTCAGCTTGACCTTCAAGTTCCACATCTCTGCTTGGATCTTCAAAGTGATGAGTTTTTCTTCGGGCCAGTTAAATGTGATCTCAGCCTCGAGTTCCCCATTTTTGAGTTTTACGGAGTTTGTTAAAGACAGACTTTCGTAACCTTCTAGGGGGGTCTTGATGTCCACTTTTAGTGAAAATGGTAAAGAGAAAGAGTACTCACGTATGGACAACTTCCATTCATCTCCATTCAGATCTGTAGCAATCTCAAAGTACTTTGGCTTCAGCAAAAGTTTAGAATTAAGATTTTCAACTACTGGGAAAGTTGTCTGTATCTCATTCTTTAATAAAAAGTCGTCACTCTTATACTTCAATGAACCTGAGAGTTCAACCTTTTCCGACCATTCACAGGACAGCTGGTATTTTACGTCCAGAGAATTTTGTTTTCGCTTTTGGCCAACTTCAAAGCTCAAATTCAGTTTTGGTAGGATCTCATATGGAGTCGTGATGTCCATTGTAAGCTTAATTGCATTTTTCTGTCGCATTCCTGAAAGAGACAGTTCCATTTTGCCACCCCAGTCTAGGCTGATCCTTGCTAGGTCTTTCACAGCTTTCATTTTACCTCTTGCAAAGTCGTATAAATCAAACATGGCCTCAATGGTAACAGGATTTTCTACGTCCTCAGAAGATTCAAATATGACAGATATAAGTAACTGTCGATTATCAACATTAAGTTTTCCAGTCAATTTGTATTTCCTGTCACCAAAAGCAAGAATCATAGTTACTTTTTGACCATCAGCTGACGAATAAGTTATCTGTACTGTCACTGGTCGGTTATCCGAGATTTTCAATGAAAAGTTAAACTCACGGCCATCATTTGTACTTGAATGATTGGCTTTGATGTTGAAATATTGTCCTTTGTCCCATGTAAAGAACACTTCTGCTTTATAGTAATTAAAACTCATTTCAAGTATTTTCAATGTTCCATAATTTAGCCTGCTTTCCAAATGATATTCATCTAATTCGAAATGGAATTCCAAAACTTCATATTCATTTAGCTGCTCTTGGAATTTGATTTCGTAGGCATTTTCAGTGCTACTAAACTCAAACATCAATAATCCCGAAGTTTTCAGAGGTTCAAAAGTTCCCTCGATACTAAATGCCACTTTCTCATCACTGAACAAAAATGATGATTTGATGTTATAGATCTGCATTTCTTCCTTGGTCAATACACTTGTAAACGTGAATGCTGAGGGTAACCAAGAGTAGCCTATGTGGACTTTCATGTTCTTCCATCCCTCAAATGGAGTTGAAACAAAAATGTCCAATTTCACTAATCTGCTCGTTTGTTCCAGGGCCATCTTGGCTTTGATTTCTTGTTGTTTGTACTCTAACATGGCCCAGTAAGTGACGCGGGTCTTCTCAGTAGACCATTCAAATTCCGCTCTCCCTGGGCTGAAGAAGGGAGAAGCAACTGTCGCCTCTACTATGCCATTGCTCCAATCCATCTTGGCTTTCCCATTGACTGCTAGAATTGTTTCCTCGATTTTTGCCTTGAACTTAACAACATTTTGAGATTTATCGGAAAATTTGTACTTGAAATCGACCTTGAAGACTGAGATTCCTGGCACGGGGATGTTACCAGTCAACCCAACCGTGCCCTCGTTGTTCTGGAAATTAGTTGTGAAGTCAACCTGGAATGTGTCAAAGCCGTGTTTGTAGGTGGCTGACGCTCTAAGCGGGTTGGTTTGGTATTGCGCGCGGAGAGTATGGGTCAGTGTGAATGGAGAATCAAAGAGCAGGTCTAGTTTAACGCCCTTCCAGGGGGCAGAAGTACCTCTAGGATGATTATCAAAGCCCGAGGAAAGAAATATTACTCCCTTTTGTTTCATGTCGACCTTAAATTGTAAGGAATGTATGCTGTCTTTCTGGTGGATTTCCCAGTATCCATCAATCAATTCATACTCTGGGAAGTTGGTTTGAATTCTGATATTTCCAGATGATGCTGGTATTTGGTCTCCGGTGAAATCCCATCTGGTTGAGACTCTCCACTCATCAAACTGACCATTCAGGTAGAACTGGTTGTCGTATTCATAGTTAAGGTCATAAATTCTCTTCTTGGGTTCTTCTGCTTCAGGTAGAATCATGAGGGTTACATTCCCATACTTGAAATTCTCTTATCAAGTCATAATCATGAAGCGGACCTAGATATCCTGCATTACTAAAAAACCTCAAAATCTGTTTTGGACATCTGTGAGTTCGTGGGATTTTGTCCCCTGTGCATTCGAAGAATAAGCTGGTGGGCTATCTTCAGTAGTGAAATCAGTCCTTACATTTGCCTCCATGTTCTGTGAATTTTGCTAAAGGTTTTCTCGGGTGTAGTGAAATCACTATTTTTTGCTGCTTCCAGTTCTCGTGGTGATTATGTTTCACGCCCACTCCATAATATTCTCCAGCTGTCACTCCACTGACCATAGCCACGTATTTTCTTTCCGGGACCTCAGAAAGGGGAAGACTGACACCTACCTCAAACATTTCCAGGATCTGGAAGGGCATGTGAAGAGTAATGCCTCCAGTGAAATCATCTTCATTTGTTGACACTGAGCTTGTGAAGTTGTATTTCATGTCATCTTGGCTGCTGTAAATTCTCAGGGTATTACCATTAATTTTATTTTCAAAATGAGCATCAAAGTGATACTTCTCGAATGAATGAAGACTTGATGACATATCAAATGTTAATCTTAATTCCTGGTCACTCATCTGAAGCTGAAGCTTGCCATCTGCATTACCATTTGATGTCGTTAATTTGAAATTTCCTAATTTGACTTCTTTCCTGAGATCATAGTTGACTTCGAGATCAGCCTGACCAAACGCAGAGTCTGTGGAGAAATGAATCTCTATATCACCATAGTTTTCTTTGTAGTTAGCTTCCCCGGTCAGTTTTCCCGAGAGTGAATGTCCAAATAAACTGTGATCATAAGACGCTTCCAGAATTGCCTGAGTTGGTTGAATATCATACTCTGCCTTTAGTTCAAGCTTCTGTTCTTCCAGAATTTTGAAGGTAATTTCAGACCTCAAGAAGGAGAAACTGCTGCTGAACAGAAAATAGGTGGTGTCAGTGGAAATCTCGTACACGTGTAATTTTAGTCCAAATTCATCTTCTTTGAATAACCAAGAAAATTGTAAGCCAAGTGAATATTCTGGGTAAAATTCACTCTTTATCGTGACTTCATATTCGTTCACTGCAATTTTACATTCTCCTTCTATTGTGAAGAAGATGCCAATACCTTGTATGTAACAGTCTGAAAACACTGAAATGAGATTATCCTTCACCTCATATTTCATATTGAATTCAAAAATGGCAGTGGCAGAACAGTTTTCCTGTATGTTAATATTTACACTCGCATTTAGAAACAGTTGGTCAAGTTTTCCATCAAAGTTGAAACAGAACTTAGGGACTTTCATCTTTATGACTACCCTGTAAGATTCCTCTGGCATGATGTTTACTGTCAGATCAATATTTTCCCAGTCTTCAATTGGCATTTCAATTCGGATGTATGACTCTTCTAAGCTGGCCTTCATGTGAGATTTGATAAAGTATGCATCATCATTCACATTTATCTTCAAATCTGCTTTAAATTCTTCGTCTGTGAAGAAGAACTCAAAGTTGGCTTCAAATTTAAACTCCAGAAATTGATTATTTCTACCTCCAACACAGCCCTTCCAGAAGTACCTGAACCTCGAGCCTCATACCGAAGATTGGCAGTGAACTTCTGTTGATTTAGCATGAAATTTGCACTGACTTCAAAGCCACGACTCTCTGTGATGAGGATCTCGCCAGAAACTTCTTTCACGGCTTCAATATCGGAATTCATGGTGAGTGTTATTTGTTTCCTAGGGCTGTCAACATCCCAGGTAATTTTCCCTTCGGCAGCTATAAAAGTCGAACCATCATCGCCAACTCTCTGGCTGTTAAAGACCAAATTATCGGTATTGAGGCTGGCAGCCACCTCGTACTTATTCTCATCTCCAGGAATAACATAGCCCTTGATGTCTTTCCCTGTGTTATTGTAGGACATAAACAAAGCCCACTGAGGTATGTCACTGGCAAGAACGAGAGTAACATTAGTTTGATAGCTGCCATATTGGGGAATCCCAAACATGAAATTGACTTCCTTTTGGTCAAGGAGCTGGTCATTGAAATTCATGTCATATGCCATCTCGTACTTGAGATGGGGCAGATCATCCAAAGCAAGAGAAGCACTTGTGCTTAAGTTGTAAGTCTCTTCATTGGCAAACAATTTAATGTCAAATCCTACATCCCAGCTGTTGGGATTAAGATTGACGTTAGTTTCAACATGAAGCCCGTAGTTTTCAAAGCCTGCAAAGTCTGAAAGAAACCTTACAGATCCTAAGAAGGTAAAGTCTTCAACTTGAGACAAGTCCATGGTGACATTCAGCATTCCAGTCTGCATGAGAGCACCTGGAGTTGTCAGGACCTGGAAGGTGAGCTGTACATCAAGCTTGGGGTACAGAGATGTGGTTGTAGTATTGACAATGAGAATCTCTTCATCTTTTACTGCTAGTTTGAAATCAAAGTTCGGTATCTCATTGATTCCTTCAGTGTATTCAAGATCAGCCTGGTATTTGTGATCAGGTATGTCCACCAGCGTCTTAAAGATAACACCATCAAAAATGGCAGACTTTGCCATTACTGAGGAACCGTCCCACAAAGCTTCCACATTACCATTGTACTGCGAGTCAAAATGTAAGTTGGCTTTAAAGTTAATCCCTTGTACCGGAGCTCTAACTTCAGCTAGTAGCAAATACTCTGAAAATTCTTGGCTAAACCACCCTTGGCTGAATGTGAGGTTACTCGTCGCTTGAATTAAAAAGTCGGATCCATAGGTCGCTTCCATAAATATTAAATTGCCATAATCCACTCCATGTTCCCAAGCAATAGAACAGTTCTCAAAGTATGTTGACGACACGTCTAGCATAAAATCAGAATGATCCCAACCAAATGCTCTACTGCTTCTCAGAGTTGCCCTTGAAATGACAGAATCTCTGTGAATGCTGATAAGTTCATACATAATAGAAGAATCCTCGGGCACGGCTGTAGCCACAGTCACTATGTTATCTGTCCATGGTGAGGTGAAATTAAGGTTTGATTGGAACGAAGAAAAGTCGGCTTCTGCAGACAGAGATAACTCGGATTTGATCTCTTCTTTGCTGGGAAGAACAATGTTTGCAACACTGGACCAATCTAATAAGTTTTGGAATTCTAATATATGACTCGCTTGAAGCAACTGGTCTCCCCAGGATCCAAATATCTTCGTTGAAAATGTGCTGGAGTTTCTGTTGTGCGAAACTGTCAGATTCAGGTTGTGATCAAGCAAGTTGGTGATGGCAATCTGTCCATCTGCAGTCTCTGGAATGAAGCTGTGATCCCACTCTGTCTCCAGAGCATAGGTGATTTCTATGTCATTTACAGTTCCTTTTAGTTGTTGCGTGTATCCTTTTCGACTGTGTTTGTTGTTGAGTTCCAGTTCTATCACTAGTTGCTCATGAGTAACATTAAACTGAAGTTGTGTCTCACCAGGCTTTGTGTAGTAAATTCCAAATTCTGATCTCACAGAATTTATGCCACCTAGAGTCGAAGTTAAATCTACAGAGACATGAATTAAGTCCGATTCCTGATAGTTAGTGACATTAAGTACCAACGGTTCAGTCCAAGGAGTGTCTACCATCAGAGATCCAGACCTCATGACTGAATCCCAACCCGCCTCTCTCTGCCCTGAGAATGTCACTGCAGCCGACTCTCCTTCTGCCATTCCAATCTGGGCATCAAATTCGAAAATGGTGCTGGTTAATTCATAAGACAGGTGAGCCTGATAAGGTGAGCTCAACACAGGTGCTCCAACGTTTATCATGAGGTCGGAAGTCCCATAACCCAGAGTAGTGTTGACCTCAACCATCCAAGGATCATATGAGGCTGTGAGGTCGAGGCTGATGCCCGTCATATAGTGGCCATCCCTGTACTTGTTGTATAGGTGAAAGTGGGAGTCACATGTCCCCCCGTCTTCATAGAGGAATTTCATTTCCAACTGCGACAGATCTTCCAACTGGGCTTCCGCTCGCACCTAAAGAAGAGAAACAAGAAAGAGTTGCACAGTTTAGCCAGTTTCGGTCCCAGACTCTACCATAATCAGTACCAATCCCAATCAAAGTAACACAAAACACCATATACCGGTGCCTATGAGTGTCTAAGTTTACAATAGTACAGTGTGATCAACTTACTTTCAACTCATCCCACTGGAATTCTGCGCTGCTCGGCGAGGAGTCTCCGCGGCTCTCCATAGCGAAGCCCACGTTGCCCAAGCGAGTGAAAGGAGTGGACAGCGAGAGGGCAAAGGCAAGCACAGGCTCTGAGAACCAACCATCCTCTTGCTTGATGGTCATGTGACCTTTTAACATATCGTCGCCATACGTTGAAGACACCTTGATATGAAGGGATGGAGAACGAAGCCATGTTACGCGAGTCCAAGAGTCTAACGACTACTTTATATCAATAAAATGAAAAAAGCCAAGGAGTTTGCTAGTATGTATCTTACTATTACTAAGTGGCTCGTAAACTCAGGCCAACCATGGTTCTTAAACAGATCTGCACATATATATGACTAAACCAGTCATTAAGGTAAATAACTCTTCTCAAACAGCAACAAGAACAAAAGAAATAATAACCATTAAATTCCTGGTGACCCCATCATACGTGTGGTTGAGAGCTAGGTCACTCGAGTACGTCTGGCCTGAGGGCAAGACCATGCGCACGGCAGCAGTGCCCTGGAGGTCACCTGCATAAGGGTGCTCGTAAGAACCTATGACCTCGAGCTGACTCTCCAGAAGCCTGAAGTTCCCGCCGAAGGTTTGGTTGCTAGAGGGACAGGTGTGGATGAGGTTAGTATGGCAATCGACAGGATAAATGTTGGCTTGTGAGACCACATTTGCTTGAAGGACCAAATACATCTTAATTTGAATTGCGTCAGCTGCAAGTAATTTTTTCTTCTTTTTTTTTAATATCTAGAGCTAGTATCTCATTACTTGTATGTCTGTCTGCCTCTCTCAAAACCAAACGCCAAATAAGATAAAATAAGCAACACAACTTCAAAACACCTCGGTAAAACTGCAACAAATTCCCCAAGTGCTGCAATAATATCACCATCAAGACGATTCATGATTAACGAAACTAATTACCTCTAAAACTAATTACCTCTGAAACTAATTACCTCTGAAACTAATTACCTCTGCCTCTCCTACCGTTGCGACCCTGAAAGACTTACGAACTTGCTCCGCCTTACCTTCCAACGACGGCAGTGAAGCGCAAGAGCTTGTCGGTGCCGGACGTGAGGTAAAGCTTGAAGTCGGTTTGTACTGGACTCTGCACTCTCTGAATCCCCGCCTTTAGAGTGAAGAGAAGAGATCCAAAAAGCTATAAGTTTATATCGGTTAATTATCATTTATTCATTTTCATTTTTATTTTTTTCGCAAGCTATGCATATTTCTTATAAT